TGAATTGATTTTTGTTATCTTAAAAGATGGGCACCTTTAACAACTTCTCTTACATTTACATAGTTTCCTAGCGTTTCTTGGCTGTTATTATACATATATTCTAGACTTGTCTCAAGGTATTGCATTTGTAATCATAAGGTGAGCTTGTTAGTTGTTAAGTAATTTAGGTACCATCTGCTTTTAGTTTGAGCCCACCTTCCTATGTACATTTACTTTACCCATTCCTGAAATAAAGGTAAAACCAAACAAGGAAAGCATTCCGTAAACACATAGTCTTGGCTCTTCTTTCTTTACAAATGCACCTGCTTTTTCGTATTTTGTCTCTAATGCAATCTTTGGTAAAGGATCCACCTTCATCAATCTCTTAAAGCAACCAAAAAGAAGCATTCATGTGAAAAATAATTGGAAATTAATTTTAAAGAATGTGTTGTCTTTCCATCTTCATAAAGCAAATCCACTACCATTAACATACCTTTCCTCCCTTTTAAACCAACTGTCTTCTTCCACATTAAGTTTTGCATCCCCATCACTTCGCCACCAAGAAATTTAGTACCCTGAGTCTACTACATAATGGAAACGAGCATCACTCTTTTCAAAAATTTACAATTGAAGAGAAACTCTCTGTTCTTCACACATCTACTTTGAGAGAGAAACTAAGAGAGGAGAAGAAAACAAAGAAAGATGAGTACGGATTGGGGGCCGGTTGTTGTCGCTGTGGTATTGTTCATCCTTTTGTCTCCAGGGCTTCTCTTCCAGCTACCGGCAAGAACCAGGGTAATAGAGTTCGGAAACATGTACACCAGTGGAATTGCCATCCTCATTCATGCAATTATATACTTTTGCATAATCACTATCTTGATCATTGCAGTTGGCATTCACATACGTGCTGGTTGATCAAGTTATCCTGTCCTTGATAATTTTTTAACACGTTTTTTCTTTTTCGGACGAAGTTGTGGCTTCTAATTCTACCATCTTTGTCAATTCTAATTTTATTTTTCTTTTCATGAGCTTCTTGTTAATTGTTCTATGGTTGTGTGTGTGTATTTTGTTAAACATGGAAAGAAATGTATAATAATGAAACCTTTTCACTATGTTTGTCAATTCTACATGAAATTTGACTAGTCTAAGGCTGTCAATAGGCCTTGTGAAGGGTATGATTGTAATGACCTTATTTCGTTACATGAAACATGGAAAGAAATGTTCGTCAATTCCTGGATGTTGCATGATTTTATAGACTTTAGTTTTTGCACTTCAACACAAAGCAAAGAGTATCATTGTAATGACCTTATTTTCGGCAACTTTGATCCCAATCAAGATTGCAACGAAAGGAGATAGGCTGAAAGCTGAAAAATTATTTTACAATCACCACAGCCCCGGGCAGAAAGTTCTAATGTTAGTATTCTATGCAATGCCTGGCACCGTCAGTCTTAGACTAACCAGTAGAAGAAACATTTCAATTTCATTTTCTTAAGAGTTAATTACATTTCCTTACGTTCTAAGTCACAAAGCCACTGGGTGATTAGTGAGTACGCAAAAAATAACAAGCCATAATGGTTCTTACGAGGCTGGCTCACCAACCACTTAACCTAACATACATCAATAGCTAGAATAGCATCCTTACCAATGCAATCCAGAAAAGAAAAAGAAAACAAAGTTCCAAATACGAAGTCTCTTCTAAAGTATAGACCTAACACAACCAAGTCTTGGCATTTATACATTTTATTATAATAGAATATGAGCAAGTAATGATGCAAATGCCCAAAAATCAGCCATGCCAGACTTCTGAAAACAAAAAATTAACTAAGCACAGAGCAAGTAAACATGGCAAAATTTGTCTCCAATTCTTTCGTTCTTTCGTTTATTTCTCTTTCTTAAGCTCATACAACAGCCTAAATATACAGGCTTGGTCTTTAGCCCAATTAAAATGATGTAAACACTCAGATCTGTTTTATAGAAGTTAATACAACTACAAACGAACTGGATGTCTGGAACCAAGACTCATACCCAGAAACCCGGTAACCGGTTCATCCGGTATAGATGTGGACGTGAACAGCCAAGATGAGGATGGCATAGAGCGTAAAGAAGATAAGAGTATGAACAGCAATAGCCTTGCCGTTGGTCTTCAGGCTACCAAACTCCAACTGGCGGTTGTGTCCCGGTAACTGAAACAGAAGCCCCGGTTGCAGCAACACAAAGAGTACCACACCGATAACAACGGGGCCCCAGTCGGCCATAGTTGAAAGATGAAGAAGCGGTTAAAAAAAGAGAAGGGATAGGCCGCTAGCTTTAATGAAACGCTAGAAGATGAAGAGGGAAAGGAATAACCGAATAAGTAAAACCAAGTTAAAGAGTGAAGGTGAAAGTGATAGTTTGGGAATAATAAGATTTTGCAAGCACAAGAAAGACATTGAATAGGTTGCGGGCGTGGCGTGGGCTGTCTGGTCTTTGACTCTTGATGCATGTGCTCGAGAGTAAGTGGCTTTATTAAACAGAGCCACGTCGTCGTTTTGCGATGAGGTGGGGCATTTTGTAGAATGAAATTACAGACATGTTCATTTTAAGAAAAATTAGTACCTAATTTATTCTTTATTATTATTATTATTATCCCTTAAAAGAAAAAGGAATGAGATAATGGATCCAGTTTCTTCCAGGCTCTGTATTTGACTAAATTCTTGGTTCGATCGTTAAGCTAATATACTCTTTTGGAAAAGCTTGAAGAGTAGACAGAAATGGATGGTGATGGAAGCATTAAAGCACCAACCACTAGGAGCTGGGTGGTAATTTGCAATTGATTACGAAAAACAATATGATTGATTGTGCTTCACATAATCTACAAAAAATGATGCCATCCCTTATCCCTAACAACCAAATTAAAGTGAAGCAGAATTACACTCCTAAAGTTAGCTCAAGCCGCAGCACGTAGAGAATTGAGGATGTGTTGGGTCTTAGATAGATTTTAGCTCAAATGCTGTGCTTTGAATTGATTTTTGTTATCTTAAAAGATGGGCACCTTTAACAACTTCTCTTACATTTACATAGTTTCCTAGCGTTTCTTGGCTGTTATTATACATATATTCTAGACTTGTCTCAAGGTATTGCATTTGTAATCATAAGGTGAGCTTGTTAGTTGTTAAGTAATTTAGGTACCATCTGCTTTTAGTTTGAGCCCACCTTCCTATGTACATTTACTTTACCCATTCCTGAAATAAAGGTAAAACCAAACAAGGAAAGCATTCCGTAAACACATAGTCTTGGCTCTTCTTTCTTTACAAATGCACCTGCTTTTTCGTATTTTGTCTCTAATGCAATCTTTGGTAAAGGATCCACCTTCATCAATCTCTTAAAGCAACCAAAAAGAAGCATTCATGTGAAAAATAATTGGAAATTAATTTTAAAGAATGTGTTGTCTTTCCATCTTCATAAAGCAAATCCACTACCATTAACATACCTTTCCTCCCTTTTAAACCAACTGTCTTCTTCCACATTAAGTTTTGCATCCCCATCACTTCGCCACCAAGAAATTTAGTACCCTGAGTCTACTACATAATGGAAACGAGCATCACTCTTTTCAAAAATTTACAATTGAAGAGAAACTCTCTGTTCTTCACACATCTACTTTGAGAGAGAAACTAAGAGAGGAGAAGAAAACAAAGAAAGATGAGTACGGATTGGGGGCCGGTTGTTGTCGCTGTGGTATTGTTCATCCTTTTGTCTCCAGGGCTTCTCTTCCAGCTACCGGCAAGAACCAGGGTAATAGAGTTCGGAAACATGTACACCAGTGGAATTGCCATCCTCATTCATGCAATTATATACTTTTGCATAATCACTATCTTGATCATTGCAGTTGGCATTCACATACGTGCTGGTTGATCAAGTTATCCTGTCCTTGATAATTTTTTAACACGTTTTTTCTTTTTCGGACGAAGTTGTGGCTTCTAATTCTACCATCTTTGTCAATTCTAATTTAATTTTTCTTTTCATGAGCTTCTTGTTAATTGTTCTATGGTTGTGTGTGTGTATTTTGTTAAACATGGAAAGAAATGTATAATAATGAAACCTTTTCACTATGTTTGTCAATTCTACATGAAATTTGACTAGTCTAAGGCTGTCAATAGGCCTTGTGAAGGGTATGATTGTAATGACCTTATTTCGTTACATGAAACATGGAAAGAAATGTTCGTCAATTCCTGGATGTTGCATGATTTTATAGACTTTAGTTTTTGCACTTCAACACAAAGCAAAGAGTATCATTGTAATGACCTTATTTTCGGCAACTTTGATCCCAATCAAGATTGCAACGAAAGGAGATAGGCTGAAAGCTGAAAAATTATTTTACAATCACCACAGCCCCGGGCAGAAAGTTCTAATGTTAGTATTCTATGCAATGCCTGGCACCGTCAGTCTTAGACTAACCAGTAGAAGAAACATTTCAATTTCATTTTCTTAAGAGTTAATTACATTTCCTTACGTTCTAAGTCACAAAGCCACTGGGTGATTAGTGAGTACGCAAAAAATAACAAGCCATAATGGTTCTTACGAGGCTGGCTCACCAACCACTTAACCTAACATACATCAATAGCTAGAATAGCATCCTTACCAATGCAATCCAGAAAAGAAAAAGAAAACAAAGTTCCAAATACGAAGTCTCTTCTAAAGTATAGACCTAACACAACCAAGTCTTGGCATTTATACATTTAATTATAATAGAATATGAGCAAGTAATGATGCAAATGCCCAAAAATCAGCCATGCCAGACTTCTGAAAACAAAAAATTAACTAAGCACAGAGCAAGTAAACATGGCAAAATTTGTCTCCAATTCTTTCGTTCTTTCGTTTATTTCTCTTTCTTAAGCTCATACAACAGCCTAAATATACAGGCTTGGTCTTTAGCCCAATTAAAATGATGTAAACACTCAGATCTGTTTTATAGAAGTTAATACAACTACAAACGAACTGGATGTCTGGAACCAAGACTCATACCCAGAAACCCGGTAACCAGTTCATCCGGTATAGATGTGGACGTGAACAGCCAAGATGAGGATGGCATAGAGCGTAAAGAAGATAAGAGTATGAACAGCAATAGCCTTGCCGTTGGTCTTCAGGCTACCAAACTCCAACTGGCGGTTGTGTCCCGGTAACTGAAACAGAAGCCCCGGTTGCAGCAACACAAAGAGTACCACACCGATAACAACGGGGCCCCAGTCGGCCATAGTTGAAAGATGAAGAAGCGGTTAAAAAAAGAGAAGGGATAGGCCGCTAGCTTTAATGAAACGCTAGAAGATGAAGAGGGAAAGGAATAACCGAATAAGTAAAACCAAGTTAAAGAGTGAAGGTGAAAGTGATAGTTTGGGAATAATAAGATTTTGCAAGCACAAGAAAGACATTGAATAGGTTGCGGGCGTGGCGTGGGCTGTCTGGTCTTTGACTCTTGATGCATGTGCTCGAGAGTAAGTGGCTTTATTAAACAGAGCCACGTCGTCGTTTTGCGATGAGGTGGGGCATTTTGTAGAATGAAATTACAGACATGTTCATTTTAAGAAAAATTAGTACCTAATTTATTCTTTATTATTATTATTATTATCCCTTAAAAGAAAAAGGAATGAGATAATGGATCCAGTTTCTTCCAGGCTCTGTATTTGACTAAATTCTTGGTGCGATCGTTAAGCTAATATACTCTTTTGGAAAAGCTTGAAGAGTAGACAGAAATGGATGGTGATGGAAGCATTAAAGCACCAACCACTAGGAGCTGGGTGGTAATTTGCAATTGATTACGAAAAACAATATGATTGATTGTGCTTCACATAATCTACAAAAAATGATGCCATCCCTTATCCCTAACAACCAAATTAAAGCGACAAAACATTAAAAAACAGTATAAAGTTGACAATTGATATGGTAGTGGCACATTTTTTTATAGCTTTATGGGATTCCTATTTTTCACCTTATGGACCTGGACCAATAATGTTGAAGCCTTCTTTATATGCCAGCTGCTATATTATTCTTCAAGAGTTGAAGCTAGATGCTCAACTGAGAAGTGAGACGGTTTCTTGGTGAAGTTTAGGATGCATGATTGGGCTGCTCCGCTCATAGCTGCGGCTCTGTTTGCGTTTCTGGCACCGGGGTTGGTGTTGCAAATCCCTGGAAAGAATCGACCTATGGATTTTTTCAACATGAAGACTAGTTTGGCTGCCATGTTTGTGCATACCGTTCTCTATGGTTTGTTTCTTATTTTATTTTTTATTGTTCTTCATGTCCACCTCTATGCCTAGGGAGCTGAGAGGGTCTCCGAAAGTAGAGCAAATTAAGGCATACACCTTCTTGGCTCACTCGCAATTTTCTTATTTCAATTTGTTGTCTTCCAGTTACTACCGCTGTTCAATATAACCTAAGCTTGCATAAAGACTGATTTTTGCGTTCATCAAAAGATTTATAGTTGCTATGCACTTCCAAGTTCCAAGTTCACCCTTTTCATTTTAGCCTCTGCTTTCTCTGAACTCCTAAATGATTTTTTTTTTCTTATGCCTTATACAGTAATCTTAACAGATTTTTTTGTGGTCTTTCTTTCTTTCTTTTTTTTTTTTTTAATTCTGTTCTAAAAACAAATGAAAATCATATTTTTCAGTAACTATTGGTAGATTCAATTAAATTGATATTAGCACTTCAAGCCAGGTTAATTCAATGGCTGTTATCAATTTGGTTATGAGAACATAACTAAACACTGAAGTTAAACTAGTATAAATATGGCGACAGAGAGAGAGCCTCAGATGCTTTGTTTAGTTCATAACCGATATCTCCCCAGTCCCCATAACGCCATAAGTGTAGTCCTGGAAGTGGAAATAATTGCATGGGCTAAAACATTCATAACACTATCAGCAATAATGGCTGCTGAGCTCTCTTCGATCAGTACATGTGAATGCAATTCTGTGTACCATTGAAGTTAATCGAATCTTTCACCACACAATTGATTGTGAAATCCTATCTCAGCTAAATTAACACCAAGTAATTTAGGAAGTAAGCTTTGCAAATTACTAACCAATCAAATCATGAATATCGTCTTATAACCTTGATAAAGCTAATGGAGAATTATACAGTTTTTTTGGTCATGTATACGGAAGAACAAGATCTATAATTTACTAACAAGTTTCAGTTCACTGTCACCCAAAAAGAAAAACAGATGAAAAGATAACAAATAATGGAATCTGAATTCAGAAAGCTAAGAGCCTACGTACATATGAACACCAATAGCTAACAAGAAGATACAGATAAGAGAAAAGTAAAGAATGGAATGAACCAGAATAGAAGCTCCACTCGTCTGAAAATTCCCAAACTCTATACACTTGTTACGACCCGGAACTTGAATGAGTAAGCCCGGCGTCAACAGGATGAAGAGCACCACCGCCACAAAAACAGGCCCCCAATCTGACATCTTGGTGGGTCTGGCTTTGGATTATGGCTCTAATGACAAATAAAGCAAATTTAGAGTGGAAATGAAATGAGAAAGAGGAGGGTATTCATTATAAAGGACATGACATGTTTTGCTTTAGGAAGAAGAGACAAGAAATCGGTGACTAGGAAAAGCAAAGGTTAGAGAATCAAGCTATTGGATTCACATCATCACATGACACATGCACTACCATTCCAATCCAACGAAGCTTCGTCACTTTCACTTACAATACAAAACTACAAGTTTTTCATAATTCATTGTTAGGTACTTCAATAATTTAGGGGAAGTCCAGGATGAATTTTAATAGTTGTGGGCATTATTTCTTTCCTTGTAATGAGGCCAAACGTCATAGGAAATCAGTAAAAAAAAAAAACAAAATTAAATTAAATGAAACCCTTAAACTATTAATACATTGAGGTTGTTTTACAATGATAGCAACCAATGTGCATAAACTCTGAATGGTTAAAAATAGAAAAGCACTTTCTGTTTCTGAGAATCTGGTTGCTTATAGAGTTGAAAATTCTGGCACTTACTTTTTGCGTTATGTTTAAAGCAGGATTGAAATTTGATTCCATAATATTTGCAAGAAGCTGTGGGCCGGCTGTGGCTGTGGCTGTGGCGTCCCCACACTTTTTCTTAATTAATTAATAGGTAGTCGGTAGCCCTGTTTGACGACGGTCTTGTGTCCAACTGGCCATTATGCTCTTCAGCTGGATTTCTGCTCATCATTCTTTCTTCAAAATTCAAACAAAAATTAAGCTCCACCGCAGACCAGTCAATTTCTTTTATTAGTTAAAATGAATTAAAATAACAATTTTCATTTTTACTTTTTGGTGTTCTTCTGAAACTGCAGCTCACTTCAACATGGGCCGAAAATCACTTTACCAACTTATCATGACCATGGCCCATAAGTGGCGGGCTCAGGAGCCACGAACAAATGTTCGTCTTTTAAATTGGAAATGACTCGTAAAACGTGCACTGAAATTGCTCATTTTGTTTCCCACTTCAGTTATTATAAAACATCAATGTTTCCCACTATCCTTATGAAATTATGAAACCCAAATTCCACTACCAATTTTGCATGAATAAAAGGATTCAGATATTGATTGTGGCGAGAAATTATTATTTTATTTTATTTTTTGTCAACTCTTTACAATGATTATGCCGGGAGATTGCTCCTGGAAAATGAAAAAGAAGAACATCAACAACTGGGCCATTGACCTGCCTGGTTGAAGCCCAACATGTTTTATATAAATTTCAGAACCACCACAACATGTCATTTTAAGTCAATTCTTTCATTTTCCCAAGTCCATCCTCTGTGCCCTACGCCTACCTTCATCAAAGTTGAGTTCCCATTTGATAATAATTTTGATAAGCCATTAACTCGTTGCCGGGACTTTTTCACTCTACAATCGATATAATAATAGGGCCAAGAAGAACAAGAAGAGGACAAGGTTGATTGGCTGTTCGGGATGGGCATGGGCCGGGGCAGGGCTAGGGACCCCTATCTCCGGCCCTAACTCGAAGGCCCAAGGGAATTCCTCGATCCCGACCCGTAGCCTGCTCGGAGAATTCGGGAATCCCCGAATAAACCCCGTTCCCCATTTGGGGGTTTTGTGTCTTTTTGTGTCCTTACTACCATTTTCTCCAAATTATAATATACCTTCAAAAAATAAATTAAATTCATAATGATTTATTGATTTATTATAATCAATCAAAACACCAAATTATATATTATATATATGTGTTATATACATTATACTATATACCATATATAATGTATAATATACAATGTATAATGTCGAATGTATAACTTTTGTTTCATAGCATTAACATATTATATATAATATATAATATATATTACAAATATTTATAATGATTTATTATATTTAATCTAGTTTTATTTATTACGTATTTGTATATGGTTTCATAAAACACTTACACAATTATAATTTGTTATTGTATAATATATGATTGATTTCCAAATATATGGACTATATATGATTGATTTTTAATTATTAAAATTAATATAGGTATATATAATATATATGATTGACTTTTTAATATATATATATATATATATTATATATATTATATATATATTATATATTATATATAGATAAAAATATAAAATTGATTTCCAAATACAAGCTAGGTCGAGGATTTCGGGACCAGGCTAGGGCAAGACCTATCCTGACCGGCCTCAAATTTCGAGACTAATTTGGGTCTGATCCAGCCCAAATCTCGAATGATCGAGGAAACTCTGGTCGTTTGGGTAGGTAGAACGGGTCTCACAAGATCGGGTTTTATACCCATTCCTATTAGTGAGGACCTTGTTGGAGATAGTACGGACTTGGATAGGCTGAAATTTAAACTAGATTTTACATTCTTGAAAATCCAAAAATAATTATTATTTTTATAATGTTCGTTTCAATTAAATCTTACTATGAATATTCAATGGGTTGCTCTATCACTTCTTGAATTCAAAGACCAACATTATTAATGTATAGAAAAGCATATTCTTTCTCATTATCTGGATTATAATTTCTCGTAAATCCACATCCAGAAGCAGGAAATAATAAAGTTAAGATGAAGATGAAGATGAGCGACAGTGTGTGGAGGTGGGAGTTGGAGAGATGCGGCTATTCGTGGCAGAAAGGGCGTTTTCTAAATCGTGCTGCCAAAAATTTGGAAGGCTTTGGGTTGGGGTCCAGTCCAATTGGCCCCAGAGCAGGAAAAATAATAGATGAGATGAAGATGAAGATGAAGATGAGCGACAGGTTGTGTGGAGGTGGGAGTTGGAGAGATGCGGCTAGTCAGTGGCGAAAGGGCGTTTTCAAATGTGCCGCCAAAAATTTGGAAGGCTTGGGTTGGGGTCCAGTCCAATTGGCCCATTTGATTAATAACTGCATATCTAGACATCTGGCTTTGGCTTTAACGATCCCATCATTCAATTTAAACATTTTTTAATCACATTCTTTTTGTGATAAGACCAGCGTATTTCAAATTTCAACCCCCGTTTGCCACGAGGATTTTATATTCACATCATGGACGAAACGACAAAGTAAAGATATACAAATAGTGTGTACTTGTCAAAGAGGGAGCTTTTGGTTGATGAATGAACAGTTAAAAAAAAAAAAAACATTGGGTGCGTTTGGTTTAGTATTTGGATGGATTTTGGATAGTATAGTTATGGATATGGGAGTATTACGAGGTAAATTTAAAAATTTATAAAAAAACCCTAAGTTTACTAATTTAACTAAAGACCAACATGTAAAATGACAAAAAAACCCCACCATCTGCAGTGTCAGATTCCGGCCACCAGCCGGAATCGGCCGGAAAATTCGTTACGACACAGACTTGTCGGATCTGTGCCGTAACAGTCGTTATGGCCTTTTGGCTAGATCCATGGTGGATCTGGCCGGAAAAGACCAGATCTACGGTTTGTTTTGGCCGTCGACGGCCGGAAAAGGCAAAACGACGGCCATCTTTGGCCGTCAGCGACGGCCAAAGATGTGGCCGTCGTTTTCGGTCAACGACGGCCAAGATTTGGCCGTCGTTTTCGGTCAACGACAGCCATTTCTTTGGCGTCGCTGACGGCCAGATCTGGCCTTTTCCGGCCAGATCCGTGGTGGATCTGGCCGGAAAAGGCCACAGCGGTGAACTTCCGGCCATTTCTGGTCGGAAGTTTGGCCGTTGTACAGATTCCGGCTATCACCGACGGTGGTTGCCGGAATCTGACAAGTTGGGTTGATGGGGGTGTTTTTGTTAATTTTTAAACTTTTTTTTCAGGGGGTATTTAGTGAAATTAATAACCTTATGGGGTTAAAATGTAATTAAAAAAAATAGGGTAATATTTTGAAAATATTATACCAAACGCTATTTGAAAAATAGGATCCAGAATAGGGATAAAAATATTAAACCAAACGCATACAAAAAGATTATTCCAGCTGTCCTCTATTGTGTAATTTCAGTAATTTTTATTTTCTTTTGGTACAAAAAGATTCCAAAACTTTATGGTACAAGTCTCTGTTAAGTCAATTTTATATATTCTGTTGTTATCGAGACGTGTGCATGCATGGATATTTTTAAAAATTAAAATCTCAAAAATTTGGTGTACATAAATAAATTGTAATATACATTTTTAAAAAGCTTTTAAAAAAATTTCTCCATTTTAATGACTAAAAAATATTAAATCATCCAATTTGATAGCTTGCTATTCAAAATGAAATACTTGTCTTCTTCTTCTACATTTTTGTTGGCAAGTGGTTCTAAAGATGACCTCAAAGCCAAATTTCTTTATGTTTTTTACCCATTAATTTATGTTACAAAATTCGTTTTCTCTTCTCTAGTTGCTTTGTCGGCTGTCGCAAAGGACAAAATATACCATGTGAGTTGTATTTTATTTAACCCCAGGTTAGGTATAATAAAAAGAAAGCAATTGTTTTTTTCGCATTTATTTTATTTATTTAATGCCGAATATTATAATTCTGTATTTTTATTCAGAAAATGACATCCCCTTTTTAAAAATTTCACCAATTTTTACTTGTTGGATCAATCGACCCGTTGTCTTTCTTTACAAGATAAATCTTTAATTTATTTCGACAAATTCTTAAGTATATTACTTAAGAGATCTTGCATTTGAGTCTTTTTTCGATTGCAAATAAGGATAACAATTAGAGTTTTTATCCAACCGATAGTTTTAAGATCATAAAGGCTTGATTGGGGTGTATGATAAGTTGGGTTGGACAACCCGGTCATAAAAATAAATAAAAAATCATTAATTTAATTAATCCATACAACTTGGTCTTCTTTCTTATGTTCCTCTTTATTTTTGCAAAAATTAAAGTGATTTAATAATTTAGAACGCATGTGAAATAAAAGCTACTTGATAGTGAAAGCTTTGACACTTGACATGAATATACATGAACCAAGAAAGAGACATTTTCTTATACAAATAATTATGTGATATTACGTTTCTATTCCCATCTGGAGCAAATGACATCCCCTTAATTAAAATTTTCACCAATTTTTACATGTTGGATCAACGACCCTTTGTCTTTTCTTACAATATTAATGATTAATTTAATTCATAGAGACTATTGAAATATATTATCCAAGAGATTCTAAATTTGAGTCTTTCTTCAATTATTAATGGGAGTAGGTACTCAAACTCTTATCCGGCAGGTACTTTCAGGATCCCAACACCCTTGGTCATAAAAAAAAAAAAAAAAAAAAAAAAATCATTGGTTTAATTAATCCATGCAACTTGGTCTTCTTATGTTTCTCTTTACTTTTGCAAAAATTAAAGTGATTTAATAATTTAGAACGCATGTGAAATAAAAGCTACTTGATAGTGAAAGCTTTGACACATGACATGAATATATATGAACCAAGAAAGAGATATTTTCTTATACAAATAATTATGTGATATTACGTTTCTATTCGCATCTGGACCATTATTATAATCATTGGATTACTAAATATAAAGTTATAAACCCAACAATTAATGTAAATCTAATACTATTTTCAAACCCAAAACTTAATTTAGGGGTAAGCATGAGTAGCAGATAGAATTAAAACCTACGGATAGAACTGGAATCGAAATTGGAATCTACCAAGAACTGACATTGTGCAGGTAGGTTCCAGTTCCATTTTTTTGGAACCGACACTGAGCGATTTCGGTTCCGATTCTTACATGTGGAGGAACCGAAATCGGAAAAAAAAAACTCTGCAATGGGTACCCAGCTTGGAACCTCTAGCGGGTACTCGGTTTGGAACATGTTTTGGAACCTGGGTTGAAATAAAATATATGTGAAGAATGGGAGGTCAATTGTACTTTTACATATAAAAAAAATTAATAATAGAAAAAATTAAATTTTTACAATAACCTAATTAAATAAATATACAATTATACTTATTACATATAACTACACCATATAAAAAACTTTAATATATTAATATTAAAATTTTGATTAATTAAATATATAATTGGAATTAGGACCAATTGAAAGTGTTTTAATGTTATAAAAATAATTATTTTTGAATAAAATAGTATATTTGATTGAATAATAATATAATATTTAGTTTTTAACTTCAATTATCAATTATCAAGTTCTAAGTATATCTATAGTAAATAAATAAATAAATAATTATATATGATAAATTGACACACATTAATATATTACTAGTCAAATGATTACTTAAGCGATTATAACATTACATTATAGTTAAGTGATTACTTAATTAATTATAAGTTTATAACATTACATTAGTAATTTAGTACATTACTTAATTAAATAATTAAAAATTTAATTAATTATAACATTACATTATACATTTATAGTATAATTACTTAATTAATTATAGCATTACATTATAAACAAATGATTATTAATTAATTATAACATTCCATTATAAACATTAGTACAATACTTAATTAAATGATTATAAATTTAATTAATTATAATATTACATTATAAATTTATAGTATGATTACTTAATTAATTATAACATTACGTTATAAACAAATTATAAATTTATAAAATGATTACTTAATTAATTATAACATTCTATTATAAACATTGGTACAATACTTAATTAAATGATTAGAAATTTAATTAATTAAAACATTACATTATAATTAAATAATTACTTAATTAATTATAACATTACATTATATTATAATCACTTAACCAATTATAACATTATATAGTTAAATAATTACTTAATTAATTATAAATTTATAACATTACATTATAAACATTAGTAATTTACTATATTAGTACATTACTTAATTAAATGATTAAAAATTTAATTAATTATAACATTATATTATAAATTTATAGTATGATTACTTAATTGATTATAATATTCTATTATAAACATTAGTACAATACTTAATTAAATGATTAGTAATTTAATTAATTATAATATTAAATTATAAATTTATAATATGATTGTTTAATTAATTTTAATTAATTGTTTGCGTTTTGGTTTTGATTTACGAATTTTATGTGAATTGTGATGAATTGATTGAATTCAAGTGTTGCCTAGAGATTAGAGGATGTATGAGTCACATCGGACACAAATGAATGAGTAATCAAAATTTGTTAGGAGTGTATTTGTAAACTTTTAAGGTATTTTTGACATTTTTTAAACTAATACGGGGGTAATTGATTTTTTATAGGGTACCCGGGAAAGGAAACATAACCTACACTTTAGGTTCCGAATTCCTTGAATTTAAGAATCTACACTATGTGGTTCCAATTCTTGTTCCTTTTTTTTGGAACCTGCACTCAGTGCACTGTGTGGTTCTGGTTTCGATTCTCTCAAAAAATGTACGGCACCAGAACTGCTCACCCCTAACTTTACTAATAAAATTTTATTACAACTTCTTATATACATATAAAGTGCGTTCCAGTTCCCTCAAAAAATACATGGTATCTAGAACCGCTCTTTAATTATTCAATAATTATTGTATATAATAAGGCTAATCTCTCAACCTTAATTACTCTAAATCCATTTATCCCTTGCTTGAAAGTTTAATAAAGTTAGTGGTACCCACTAATATGAGCATTAAAATATTTAATTTGTTGTACCAATAAATTTCAGGTTAAAAGAGAGTTCCACAGTGGCAGATTTTTTATTTTGGACCACCTGTAAAACATATTAATTTATTAAAAAGAATATTACATTTATAATACTAAAAATATAAATTGTACTGATACATGAAAATGGGATAACAAATAATCAAAATTAAAACCGAAAATCCAGGAAAACCCAAAAATTCAAGGAAAAAAAAAAAAAACAAATTGAGCATCTAAAATACATCTGTTATATATCATTGCCTATCTTCGTCTTTCTAAATTCTATGGCGCCAGTTCAATCAGACAGTACAAAATATAAAACTACATGTCAGCCAATACCGACCAGTGGCACTTGCGTAATTTCTCCAAACACCACTCCATTTTCAGACAGTAATCTTAAATATTACCATGATCGGTGACCCAACAAACGCATCATCATCATCATCAATGCCACTTAAGCTTTTGTTGTTTTGTATATAAACCCACAAAAGCTCTAACTGAACAAACTACAATTCCACTCTAAAAAGTTTTTATTTGCGCTTCCGTAAGTATTTATTTATTTTCAATCAAAATATCCATTTTCATTCAACAAACAAACTCAAAGATCAGAGAAGAGCATTGAAAGATGAGAACTTTTCGAGAGAGATTTGTTTCGTTTATCAACAATAGATGGCTGGTGTTTGTGACTGCAATGTGGATACAATCATGTGCTGGGATTGGGTACTTGTTTGGGAGCATATCGCCTGTGATAAAGAGTTCATTGAACTATAATCAGAGGCAGGTGGCGCGGCTCGGTGTCGCTAAGGATCTTGGAGATAGTGTTGGGTTTTTGGCTGGTAGCTTGTGCGAGGTCTTGCCTTTGTGGGGTGCTCTTCTTGTTGGTGCTCTGCAAAACTTCATTGGTTATGGTTGGGTTTGGTTGATTGTCACTGGTCGGGCTCCTGCTTTGCCTTTGTGGGCTGTGAGTATTAATCAAAACTATAGATTCTTTTTTTGTTTTGATCGTTGCTGTTTCTGATTGGTTGATCTGTGATTCGCTGACTGAAAGTTCTTTCTTTACTTGTGCCAAAATTCAGGCTCGTTAAGCTTGACTGTCGTGACTGGACCATATTTTTTTGTCTGTTTAATTTCTGTGGCTTGTGTTGTGATGTTCAATCTAAATTTGCAATTTGTCTTTTCCTCATTGGAATTGCTAAACATGTGGCAAACTGTTTGATTGAACATGTTCCTTCAATCTTTGAAATTCGAAGGATTTTTGCTGGTGTAATTTTTGACATTTCCTCTATTGTTGGTTGACTCGGAAAGGCTTTTAATGCATATTTTTTATTCTTCTGTCAAAACGGTACTCAATTTCTTTGAATGATTCATTTTCTTTCTGTTTTTGCCACCAACAGAGAGAGAGTTAATTTTCCGATACTTTTGAGTTGGGTGGTGATTTCCATATACTTCCTTTTTAAGCTCTTAAATACATACTTCTGATCAGAGATCTTGCATTTCAGGTGGTTAATAATACTCTTAATGCAGTTTGATTGCTTGTTTGTTTCCAAGAAAGTGTGATTACTGGTTTTACTAGAACTTTTGATGTGATTCTGATTGATTGTATGAATTGAGTGGTTAAGTTTTTCAACGTCGTTTACATATTCTGGTTTCTGGAACCAAGGTGTGCACTACTCTGGAGACCTCTGGATTAGGAGGAAATAAAAGTATTTTTATATCTTATAAGTTTCTTCAATTTTTTTTTTTTTTTTTTTTTTGAAGTTCATCACCAAGTGCTTAGCTGAAAGTTTGTTCATGCTGTTGTAAAACCTTCTAGTCACACTAATATGAAAACTACTACATCAGATGTTTGTTCAAATCCAAAGTTAACGTCATACATTTTTCCTGAGTGATAGTGTATCAAAATACTTTTACAATATGATTTTGATTCAAATCTTGGATTCCTGTTTCAATATCTAATCTATTCTGTTTCTGCATGATTCTCAATAAGTGCCATTGTTTATGTTGGATCGATTAACCTACTTCCATATGCAGTTTTTTATATGAAAAAATGTTGTTTTGATATGTTTGAAGCATCTTATGCTCAATCCTTTTAGAAAAGGCATCTTCTGTACTTTTGATGTCATGTTGCTTTTTTGTTATGTGCATATATAACGGATCGATGAGCATTTTTCCTTCTAGATTCCATCCTTCTAGATTCCATGTGAAGTTTTCTACATGAAAATTGGGGGTAAATATGATATGTATAGAAGCATCCTATGCTCATTCCCCCAAAGGAAGGCACTTACCAAACTTGTGATATCATGATGCCTTCTAGCATATGTGTGATGCTTTATGAGATATACTTCTCAGTAACTTTAATAGTTAATCTAGGACTAAAATATGTACTACAATTATAGTGCAACGGAATTTGTTTTGATTAATTCATATTGACTTTTATGTTGTTGTCATCATTCAATATTTATCTTTGTTACTTCATCTTGAGAAAGTGAAGCTTTGGATTAATGAAATTGATTTTATATGTTCCAATTAGCTTTTTAGGTGTTACAGGTACCGTTGAGATGGGAGCTTACTTCAGTATTTTAATGTTGGTTGGTGTGATATTGGTTACTTGAATTATTTTCTACTATTCCTGTTGAACTATTTATGACCATATTCCTTGAATAATGTACCTTCATACACACTCTCTCTGTCCAATGGAACTAGGGAAACTTTTCAATCTCTTATTCTTGATCTTCCCTTGGTCAAATGGCTTACCCGTATCATTATGCAGATGTGCATTCTTATATTTGTGGGAAACAATGGCGAAACCTACTTCAATACAGCTGCTCTGGTTTCTTGTGTGCAAAACTTTCCAAAAAGTCGGGGTCCTGTGGTGGGAATACTGAAGGGCTTTGCTGGGTTAAGTGGCGCAATTTTGACTCAAATATATACTGTGATCCATTCTCCTGATCATGCATCACTCATATTCATGGTTGCAGTTGGACCGGCAATGGTAGTTACTGCTCTAATGTTCATTGTCAGACCTGTTGGAGGTCACAGACAAGTACGACCATCTGATGGTTCAAGTTTCACATATATTTATAGTATATGCCTTCTGTTGGCGGCCTATCTGATGGGGGTCATGCTGGTTGAAGATCTAGTTGATTTGAGCCACAGTGTGATAATAACTTTCACAATAATTCTATTTGTTCTTCTTATTATACCCATTGTGATTCCTGTGTTATTAAGTTTCTGTTTAGACGCAAGTGACCTGGCAGAAGAGGCCCTTCTACCCCAAGCAGAGAAACTAGGACCTGGAAATTCTGAACAGGAGGTCTTATTAAGTGAGGTGGAAGATGAGAAGCCAAAGGATCTAGACTTGCTTCCAGCATCAGAGAGGCAGAAGCGAATTGCTCAACTGCAATCAAAATTATTCCAAGCAGCTGCAGAAGGAGCGGTGAGGGTTAAGAGGAGGAGGGGTCCACACAGAGGGGAGGACTTTACGTTGATGCAGGCGTTAATCAAGGCAGATTTTTGGCTTATCTTTTTCTCGCTTCTACTGGGTTCTGGGTCAGGGTTGACCGTGATAGATAATCTCGGTCAGATGAGCCAGTCTTTAGGGTATGATAACACGCACATATTTGTATGTATGATCAGCATCTGGAACTTTCTTGGCCGTGTTGGTGGGGGGTACTTCTCTGAGATTATTGTGAGGTACAATCTGATTTTTCTAGTCTCTGTGCTGATTAAGTTTTTCATTCGTGATGCTTTTGGTTCAGTCTTTTTACTTATCCTGACATCATAATTGAATAGGGATCACGCTTATCCAAGACCAGTGGCAATGGCCGTGGCACAATTTGTGATGTCTATTGGTCACATCTTCTTTGCTATGGGATGGCCTGGTGCCATGTACATTGGCACTTTGTTAATTGGACTTGGCTATGGAGCCCACTGGGCAATTGTGCCAGCTGCTGCTTCCGAGTTATTTGGCTTGAAAAAATTTGGGGCTTTGTACAATTTCCTCACACTGGCCAATCCTGCTGGATCGCTTGTTTTCTCTGGTATAATTGCCAGCTCTATTTATGACCATGAAGCAGAAAAGCAACATCAACCCCATCACCACCTGCAGAATGGAGGGTCTATTTTTGCAGGCATGCTCCGGGTGGATGAACCACTGAAGTGTGAAGGTTCCGTATGCTTCTTCCTTACTTCCATGATAATGTCAGGATTTTGCATTATTGCAGTCGTGTTAAGCTTGATTCTTGTACGTCGGACTAAGATTGTCTACTCTCACCTCTATGGAAAATCTAGCACTTCACGCCTACAAACACTAAAATAAGCTTTTATAAATGAGAGTACTTTCATCCATTTTATGGCGATGTCCGTGTACTCTGATGAGGTTGTGCGAAAATTTCTACAGTTTGTGTTGGTGCCTATTATGAGAAAGATGGCAAAGGGAAGCACACTGTAAAAGATTTCAAAATTTTTTTATTTCATTTGTAATGTGGTTGGGAGCTACCCTGTAATTTTGGAAGATTCGATTGTTCAAAGTGTTGTACAATAACACTACTCTTCTTCAGAAAAATCTGTTGTGTTATATTTATCATAATATTTTGGTGAATAGAGAAGTAATTTCAGTGAGCCTAGATACAACTTGGTAACCACGATCATATATCTGTTGCCAGTTTTATATATATATTACTTCAGTGGTGAAACATAGAGAGTTAAACTGAGCATGCACAAAGTACATCAAGTAGCATTAATATGTGTTCGCAAATCACAAATGATAAATTAAGATCTGTTCTTAAGACTGACTGGAAAATCTAGTAGATGGACCAACTGTTGTGGAGAATATTTTTATTTTTATAATTTTTCTTTCAGTTTTTTTGATCCTACTGTTTGAGCTGAAATCATGCCATCAATCTTCATTATTGAAGGCTGCACAGTCTCTCCTTATCTCTCCCAAATTGCCAGTCTTAACTCCCACTCTTCCAAGTTTTTTTATTGCTGCAATGAAAGCTGCGTTGAAATGGCCTGGATTGCTAGCGAAATCTTTGACAGTAGGTTGAGATTCTGGGTCCGTATAAAGCACCTCATCTGAAGTTAATAAGCCTTTCCCAGCAACCAGGTTTTGGTAATACACGTTATCTAAAACTTTTGGGGTTTCAGGATCCAGGTTGACGAATACCTGAGGATTTCCAATTTTCTTAGAGCAAGTGGCCATCAACTGTTTGGCATAGTTGAGGTTTAGAGAAGGATCCACAACAGGGTAGAGGCGACTGTGAAAACGGCTGCAATTAGAAACGCCTACACTGTGTGCTCCTGAGAGAGCAATCATGTCAAACTGGCTAAGGTTTTTTCTGGCGAATAAGGTGGTAAGTTGGGAGAGATTGAAGGAAGGATCTGGGATATTATGATGGACTCGAGATTTATTTGAAATAAGGCCATCACGACGTCCCAATTCTACACTGAATGAAGGTCCTCCAGCCTGACATGATCAAAGACAATAGGAATTAATCTCAAATTTTGTTTGAAAGATACTGCGATGACACTTGATTGTTAAAAGCCAGCTGGCTTGTGCATTTGTCGTTTTACCAGAACTACAGCATCCCTGGCAGCAATAGCTAATATGTCTGCACATGAGACTATGCCAGGACATGCTCCTTCCACTGCTTGCTTTGCCTTGATTACAGCGTCGAATCCGTCTCCAGCAAGTGAAAGATTTTCGCCTGCATCCTTTTCTGCATTGTTATTCGCTGATGCGATCATGATGGAGGCATCGCATCCCTGCAACAAGAGCAGGGCGAATCATTAGAGCAATTAATGGTTGATGGAGATTTTTACCAGCCTACTTAACTTCAGAAGTCATGTAAAAGCATTTTAGTTGCCAGTGAACATACCTCAATGAAGCAGTCATGGAAGAATAGACGTAGAGTGGCTTGGAGAGTGGCTTGGCGTGTGGCGTTGGCCTTACTGAACTTTGTGAACACTGCCTGCTTCACTATAGCTTCAACATTTGGGCAAGTCTTGCTGTAGAAATTTTCTACTAGTTGCCCTTCTCCCCTCCCAACAGCAATGAGAACCATTAACAAGATCAACCTTATCGAGACCTCCATTAGCTTCTCTTAATTCTCTTCACCTTTCTATATCTCTCTTTCCAGGTATTTCAGTTTTTCTATATAGACCATACTACCCAATATTGACTTATTTATATGGAGGACCAGTGCTATACAACCAAGTTTACCATACTAAAAATGTATGCAAATAAAATACTAAAATATTAAATGATTTTTGCACTTGCTTATTATAACACAATCAATTGTATGTTATCTTTATACATTTGATAATTGGACATGAAATTTCTTTTTTTGGCACAAAATCTTCGATACAGAGGAATGATTCGCAAGGTGATCTCCACACTCGTTTAACCATTGCTGAATAAAGACACGTTTACCATATTTACTGTGTTAAAGTCAAGTATGCTTAGTATTCCAGCTAATAAACTTTGTTTTAGAATGTAGTTTAGTATCAGTCTCTGTTAAGCCTATTGATATCAATGCTTTCGCTTCTTACCTCATACTTTTCTTCTTCATGGTTAACTCTTAAAGCCAAAGATTATTGCTATTTGCTAATGTCCCAATAAGCAGTTCAGTAAAATGTTCAATATACAAATTGAGCAGAAAGTGAGATGGTTGAAACATCTTCGATCTGAGGACAAAACCAACCATTGATCTAATAAACTTTAAACTTAATCACCATTGCCTATGCATTTTGGTCCTGATAAATATATCGGCATTCAATGTTTGTTGGGTTGCTAGTTCTTCATTCTTGTTTTAATGGGTGCATGAAGCTGGGTAGACTGCTATATAAGACTTGGTACCGCGCTCATGAAAGGTATTAATGATGAAAATGACAACAAACAAACATTGGAAATTTAGAATGAAATGATTCTTCCATTTCACGAAATGCTTCACTAAATTCAGAAAAAAAAAAAAAAAAAAATGAAGGGTTTCGAATACTCTCAAGAGTCAAAAAGATGCAACTGAACTTTAACTATACCAAATTTTTATTGATCTAGTAATAGCTCTAAATAATAGGTAAAAAGATGTGACACTCGTTTAAAACCAATCAATGCAGATTGGGATCCACGGGAACAACAAAATCTTATATCGATTGGCCGATTCACTGGTCGTCTCTTTGTGGCAAATTCACAAAGCGATCCACCAAGATTTTCAACACTAAAAAGTATCAGAATCACAAAGCCATGCAATTGAAATAATTGTTGCCTTCATCAATTAAATGCTGCGCAGTCTGTCCTGATCTCTCCTTGGTTGCCAATTTTAATTCCCACCCTTCCAAGCTTTATCATTGCAGTGACAAAAGCTCCATTAAAGTCACCAGGGCTTTTAGCAAAGTCATTTACAGTAGGTTGAGAATCAGGATCAGTGAATAGCACCTCATCCGAAGTAAACAAACCCTTCCCTGCCACTAGATTCTGGTAATACTGATTGTCAAAAGTTTGCGGGGTTTCAGGATCCATGTTGATGGCGATACTGGGGTCAACATTCCGAGGACAGGCTTCCATCAACTGCTGGGCATAATCTGGATCCAGAGAAGGGTCGACAGGAGAGGATGAAGAGAATGAGTACAGGCGGTTTGCGAAGCGATCGCAATGAGAGAAGCCTAAAGTGTGTGCTCCCGAGAGTGCAATCATGTCAATTTGGCTAAGGTTGTGTTTTGCAAACATAGTGTTTAGTTGTGTAAGATTAAATGAAGGCTCTGGTAAATTTCCGGAAACTCTGGTTGCTTGAGATATAAGACCATCACGTCGCCCCAATTCTACATTGAACGAAGGACCTCCAGCCTAATGAGTTTGATCACATCAAACACAATGAAAATGTTATTCTGTTTGGAAGTGAATTTTTTTTTTTTTTTTTTTTTGGATAATTGATGTAAATGTGACTGTTCAGTCTTTACCAGGACTACAACATCTCTTGCAGCAATAGTCAAAATGTCTGCACAAGAGACAATGCCTGGGCATACAGCTTCCACAGCTTGCTTTGCCTTGATAACAGTGTCAAACCCATCTCCTGCAAGGGAAAGATTGTCTGCAGCATCTTTCTCCGCATCGTTATTTGCCGATTGAATTAACACTGAGGCATCACATCCCTACCAAGAAAGTAAAGAGGAAGCTTAGCTTCAGACACAAGTATATTCTATGATGAACCCAAAAACAGAATTTAAAAGAAGCTAGCTGATGCCATTGCAGGGGAATTAGACATAAGTTTTGTGTCAGAATCAAATTATATCAACCATCTACTTTTTGTGAACATATCATATATTATACTTCCAAATTGATGGGAATTGGGACATTCCATCCGATATTCCATCTTTCCTCCGTCAAATTACTGAATTTCACATTCTGGGACCAAACTGTATGATGTAGCTAAGCTAGAGAGTAGCTATAGTGGCTGGCTGGCTGGCTCCTAGGGTCCTTTCTTTAACATGAAGTTGCAAGTCAAAAAGTGGCTTTAATTCCATTAATTCAAACATGTGGAGAAGTTTAATTGGCTCAACAAAGCAGAATGATTATGAATTCATTAACCATTAGTTGTCAAAACACTCAAAACCGAAACTTTTGTTTACGAGGAAGTCTTGTTGATAATAAAATATTATATACCATATAATTCATGCACCAAAGAAATAATCTCGGTCATATTAAATATTTAATTTTAAATTTTATCAATCATGTCGTGATTAAAATAAACGAAATACAAAATTATCATAAACTAATTAGTTTAGCATATTATATTTAGATTGGAATGTCGTGTTGAACTATTTGCACACAATTTCTTATTTCATTAGTCAATGGTGGTTTGGTCATGACTGTAGGTAATTTACAACTGTCGTAAAACAATACCAAAGCTTAGCCATGAAAGTGCTGGAGAAGAGAGAAGCTTGAAGAACAATCATATATATCAGCCATGAAAGGTGCTGATACAGATGCCCCAAATTTACGATTTGTACTCTAATAGACTTCAGCCAGCAACATCTAATAAGATAAACGTACGTTAATGAATGAAAATTTTACTAGTAATTTACCTCAACGAAGCAGTCATGAAAGAAGAGACGCAGAGTAGCTGGAATGGTGACGAAGGTCTGGCTAAACTTTATGGACACAGCTTGGTTCACTATGGACTCAACGTTGGGACATGTTGAGATGTAGAAATTTTCTGCTAATTGACTCTACCCTTTCCACGTAAATATAAGAATCATCAACAACACCACCCCTGATCTTCTCCTTGTCAAAATCTCCATTTTCGTTTTCTCTGTCTCTATGTGTTTGAAAGTTTTGTCTCCGGTGGCCATTGACGAGTCTTATATATAGAGAACATGTCACACGACTAGGAACCTACATTAACCATGTTCTTTTAACAGTTGTGTTATTGCCACATTGATAAAGTAATTAATTAACCCTGTTTCAAACTGGGTTGTTGTCGGGTACTAGTATTAGTCTTCGACTCCTTTAGTACACCGCCCGTCCAATAACAAACAGCCACATCATCTCTTAACTTGTCACGGTTTACCTTGGGAATTTTTCTATTTTATTTAATAATTTAACATAAATTTAATTCTGATTTTTGCAGATAGGTAGAGGCCATCTCATAAACGAATAAATTTAAAGGATCAAATTACCTTTACATGATCGAGTGGTTTGATAGAAACTCTTGAGTATATTATTCAAAAGGTCTTGAGTTCGAGTCACTCATTAGTTATTAATAGAGATAGTCACTAGAACTCTCACCGATTAATAATTTTAGGATTCTGAAAGATCAGTTGAGGTGGACATAAATCAATCTAGATTCTTCTGATCATAAAAAAAGAAAAAAAAAAAATCAAAGACCTTTTCCCAGTGAACAAATAGTAGAAAAATAGTTCTTTGAAATCTTCATAGCTGTAATATAATAAATTCTAGATGGATAATTAGTCTTTGAAAGTGGCCTGGCTTGTGAGATAGGAAAGAAAATGACACGATAACAAACTTAGTTATAATATTCATGGTTACACATGATATTATTAATTATTCCCATCATTCCTTAAGAATGTAATAAACATGTATCATTTAAATTTTCCTAACATTAGACTTTATAAGCATATAGTTGTGTTCACTTCTAACACGCATGACAGCTGATGCTACCTCTTTTTCTAATTTAAAAACATTAGGCCAACCACTCATACCTTAAATAATGTTACACCCCTTTTACTAATTAGCAATATTCTCAACTTCACGTCTCAATCTCAATCTCATGCATATGCATTGCCTTTAGCTAACTTAATTGTTTATTAAACATGTCGCTTGGGCAGGGCCGTCTTAAGAACATTTGTGATTTTAGGCAAAAGTTACTTTGGGGGCCTTCTAATAATATAAACATATATTAAAAAAATTATTTCAAATTTAATTTTCTTGCCTTTTGAGATGCAAAATCATTAGGATAGGTGGAGAGCAGATGCTAGAGAAGCGATGGGTGGTGAAATTGGTGATTTCCAATGCCAGGATTGACCGAAAAAGACTTGAGAAGTCACGGCCCAAAAGGTATCGGTGGTTGGCGATTAGCAGAAGGGTTTTGGTGAGAAGACAGAGAGGAGGAAGATGGTGGTGTTGGGGAAGGCCAACGATGCCAAGTACATGCTGAAAAGGCCAGAAATGGCTATCGCACGCGATGGAGCTAGGTTGCGAGATTCGTAAAAAATAGCCAAATTGAGGGCTATCAAGGTTGGAAAAACACTTGCAAAACGATAAAGTGATGGTTCCGATCTATTTTGGTGAAAAATTCGACCGAAATTAGTTCCAAACGGTCGACGGCGGAAGAGGGGTGGAGATTATTTATGTGAATGTTAAATTTTGAGATTAAATTGGGGGTGAGTAATTTGGGACAAGTAAATGACCATTTTAGCCTTTTATTGTTAAAAGAAATTTAATATGTTAATTTAAGGGTGTAAATTAAAATATATGAAACTAGAGGTACAAACTTGTCATTTCGTCAAACTTTGGGTGGGAATAATTAATAATAAATTTAGGCCTTTTTTGTTTTTTTTTTTTAGGTCCCTTGGCTTAGATAAGAAATTATATACTTTTTTTACTTTTATAATATATTAAAAAAAATTTATAAAAAATTTGACCCTTTTCAGCCTTATTTTTTTGTGGGCCCTAGACGGGTGCCTCACCTGCCTACCCCTTGAGACGACCTTGCAGTTGGGGATGGATACGTATAAAGAGCCACTACATAATGTTGGTTTATTATTTATTTCTTAATTAATCTGTTACTGAAGCCCCATAAAATTTGCTTTTCAAGTTTTAATTCTTAATCTTGCTGACTTATTATTTTATAAAAAATAATGTAAAAATTATATTATATTCACCCCCATCTTCTATCTCAATAATCCTTATTCTACAAGTTTTTGCATTTTGGACCTCTTGTGGGCCTATCAATTATTGGTTTTGGGTCAAGTAATGGATCAAGCCCAATTTCCAGTGAATATCCAATCCAGTCCAAAATACTCACTCAAACGGTAATATACGACGCCACTTTCCTTTCTCTCTCCTTATACACAAGACAAGTTCAAAATTACAATAGAATTGATAACGGAAAGCAGAAAACAAAACAAATTCAAATCAAAATCACAGAGACTCTCTTACACCAAGTACCCGACCCGTGACCCATGGCTATGGTTATTGACTCTAATCTCGAATCTGGCTTCCCGTACTGGGCTTCTGTTCGACGTCGTTTTGGTCCTGATTCTCCCTTCTTCGCTTCTGGAAACATCGAACGCGAACTTCTTGCCAAACAGGTTCTCCATTTGATCTTTCATTATTTATATTAATTATTTAATGTAATTTTTTTTTTTTAATTTTGTATCTAGAAAATGAATTATGTTAGTTGTTGTGATTTAGGTATTAAACTTGTCTTTTAATAAGTTTAATAGTAAGGGTGTTAATAATTGGCTGGTACATTTCATTTTGTTTAACCGTTTCTATTATTTTGCAGGTTGCGTTGGATTTAACTGAAGATGAAAAGTGTCAACTTGAGAATATGGTTACAGAGGATGCCAGGTATCTATAACAAGCTTGTTTATGGTTTTGTTTCTTTTTTATAATTTTCATTTTTGAAGGAATGGTTTTAATGTAATATATGCCTGTTCATGGTTTGTGCAAATTGCGCTTGATTCTAAAAGACTAATGTTTGAGCAGGGGAGTTTGTTGTCCAATTGTGGGTTGTAATGCACGCTTGACTTCTTTGGAGAAGTTTGAAGATCATTACAATGCAAGGCATACTGCATCTTGTTCAGTGTGCTCTAGAGTTTACCCAACGTCACGCTTGCTCAGCATACATGTATCTGAAGCTCATGATTCTTTCTTTCAGGCTAAAGTTGCACGCGGTTATGCCATGGTAACTTTTATTTGCTCATCATCTTTTAAATTGGTATTGCTAAATTTTGTTCAGAATGATTCAATCATTTTCTGTTTCGTTTTGGTCGAGATTTACACTAGTTACAAATTTCAGTTGGTATTAGATGTGCTTTCTGCATTTCAAGTTGTTTTCACAAATCTTTTTTTGCTTGCCAGTTTACATCATTTGGAACAATAATTATTATGTATGCATTTGGGTGAACATCATATGATTTGAATAAGGCTTTTGTTTCTTGTTTCCTCCCAACTTGGTTGGTTAGCTGTTATTATGTGTGTGCCACTTTCTGATGTTGATTTTATTGACAAAAAGTGTGGGGAAATGAAATGTAACAACATTAAATATATACATAAGGATGATGGATCAAGGAACCCGTTTTGTTTTTAACAAACACAAAGTTCTTACTTCATTCCGAGAATCAAAATTAATGATCCTAACTAGCAACTGCAAAAAGTTCCCAATATGTTGTTGAGTGTGCTAGTTGATATTTTTCTTGTGTGCTGTCTTTCCAATTTGATTTAAGATATATATGCTGCAATGTTATGTGGCAGTATGAATGCCTGGTTGAAGGCTGTGGGTTGAAGTTCAAGAGCTACAAAGGTAGGCAACAGCATCTGGTAGACAAGCATAAGTTCCCCACTTCATTTGAGTTCTTTAAAAAGTCCTATCCATCCAAGAAACAGAGGCAAAAGAACCAACGTAAACAATCTATACACAAGGAAGCTATGGAAGTAGAAAATGAAACCATTGATGGCCTTGTTTCAGCAGTCTCAAAACTAAGCACTTCAGACTCCTCTCCTTCATCTGTCAGCTTCGGTCGCCGCCACACTCGTGGCTTGACTTTTGTACCTCGAACAGTACAGCGCGAAAGAAGGGCAGACTCCACTCCAGCTGGAACAGAAAGATAGCCAACATACTAAAAACCATTGATGGCCTTGCTATTACCCTGCATTTTTGTCCTTGTCTTCAGCAATGAACTCTGAAGCAGACTACAAGTTGCTGAAAGGATGTATGAAGCTATGCTCATTGTTTTGAGAGTTTCCATCTTGATCTAAATCTGAAGTTTAACCAGTTGGACTTGGCGTAGTTCCGAGCAGCTGACAGCTTATTTTCCTTCTTCCTTTGAAAGTAATATTGGTTCATATTACTTAATGTCTTATAATGCTATTGATAACAGAGGATCATTTGATTAGTTTGTTATTTGTATGAAACCGTTGAGGAAGAAATTTTGATTTGGCATTGGTTTGGTTCTATTGTATTTTATTATGCAAACATGCAAATTATAGGATATATTTTTTAACAATAATACTATGCTTACTCAGGAGTTTACTATCTTATTATCTTTGTTAAAATTACATATAGTATCTATACTATGCTTATAGTACATGTACTATGTGTTATATTTACAAAAGATAATAATATGGTTAGTAAGATCGTGAGTAAGCATAGTATTACTCATTTTTTAAACCTTGATCTTATTGGACATGGAGTGGTTTCCCTTAAGCGTATCTCAACGTGGAGACCTGTGAGTGGACACAATGATTAGAATAAAATAACATAAGGAAAAAGAAAAAATAAGAGCGAAATGCCATTTGATAATGTTATTAAAATAATTATCTTTTTTCTAAGAACTTTCATTATTAATTAACATTTCAACGTTAATAAATCCAGTTGAACTAAAAACCAATGCTATAATAATCTAGAAACCAACATAAAAGCTGTGTTTTAAGTGAAATTTTCGTAAAACAAATTAATAGCACTATGGCAGAAGTTCATGAAACTATAATTTGACTTTTCTTTCGTTGTTTGTTTGTTGACTTAACTAAAATGAAGAAGGCAGTAAACGACAGCGTTCTACGTGCCCAAGGATGAGATCGGGGGCATTTTGGTCAAACAAGGAGGAGAAATATCACTATATCATGGCTCTTTCGTTCCGTTCAATCCCACAGATCTAGAATATCAATATCCCTCAATTGGTTCATTGATTCATCAGATCGTCAACGGAAGGGAGAAAATGGACGCCATAGACAACGTGTTTGATCCTCTCAGAGATTTCGCTAAGGACAGCGTTCGCCTTGTCAAGAGATGTCACAAACCCGATCGCAAAGGTACTTTACCTTTTTTTTTTTTCCTTGTCAGAACCCATTCCTTATTGTTTGATTTGCTGATTCTGTGATTTCGAATTGGATCGGAATTTCTTAGAATTCACCAAGGTGGCCTTCCGTACGGCGATCGGATTCGTGGTGATGGGATTTGTGGGATTCTTTGTGAAGCTCATCTTCATCCCCATCAACAACATCATTGTCGGATCTGTTTAAGGTGCGATTGCTTGTTTCATTCTTTTTATTCTAATCTCCTTTTCTTTTGTTTTGCATGCATGCATGTTTACAATTTATTGCCAGATTAGAAATTATTGTTCTATTGAAATATTGACGCAGTTAGTTAATCGTTGTGTTAATTCTTAATTCTAAAGGGGGCGTGGAAAGACTTAAGAATTAAGAATGGTCGATTGATATTATTTGGAAATGGTTAGATCTTTGTCTCAAGAAGTGTTTGATTTACATCATCTTTGTTTTCGTATCAAATTTTCAGGATCACCGATACTCTTCTTTTGATGAGATTGGGGAATTTGCAAATTTAAGAAAGCGTTTGCTTTTGTTCAGATGTATGGGATGCCCCAAAATTTTGCTTTGCATTTCATTATTTGTAGTCAAAATCGATTTGTGGTGATAGTTAAATCCAAGTTTTTTCATTTTAATTGTGTGCTCAAGGAATTGTCGGCTCTATTTATTGAAATGAAAGTTTCACATCTGTTACGTTTTGGTTACATGTATTCACGACCCTAGAGAAATTGAATAACTTGACCCAGTTGAATTACAGTGACTTGAATGGGAGCTCTCTTTTCGTCAATTAGTTAAACAACGTAATTGTAAGGATGCTTTATTTTCTGTTTTTTTGAGCTTGCTTTGTGACAAAAAAAGATATTTTTTTTTAATTGATCTAGGATACCAAAAAGAGGGGTATTGTTTATCTGTTGAAACTAGGAGGTGGCTGTCTTTTATTTGAAAATTCTAGTCTTTGTATAAACATCTTTTTCAATGAGATATCCTTTGCAAAGGGAGAACATTTTTTTATTGCATATTGGTTGGGGCATTGATTGATTGTAGGGTATAATATGAACATTTTAATCGTACTAAATTCAGATGTCATCCTCTGTTAGAAGTACGACATGAAATGTACTGTGCATGGTTCAACCATTTAAGCATGGCCTGGAATCTGGTATAGGAATAAAGAAATATGTATAAATGAGATGCAAACAATGTTCAAATTATTGAACATCATTACAAAATGATAATAAGTGCTAGATGGTGCAAAATGTTCAATTTATTATGCTGCATGATTCAACCTTCTGCTCCGTGTGAGAATGTTTTTTCAGAAGTGCCGATGTTAATTATGGTATATTGAAAGCTTATATGGATGGAATGAACTGGTTTTCAGCTCATATTGGGACTTTGTTGTTAAGAATAGTATTTATGATTTTATAAGAAGTAGCATACAAGTACTCTTTGGTTTTGCTGTGAACTTTCTTTAGCATGTATAATTTTCATATCAAATGTTACTCAAAACGGCATGACTAAGTTTAGATAAATAGTTTTTCTTCATATACAGCAAGTTATTTATGGTTTCAGTTTTGTTTAAAAGAGTTTCATCTTTTTGCTGTTTCTGTGCTGTGGATATTTATGTGCTTCTGGTAGAACACATTAGTTGTTTTATTTACGTCAACTCTTTGATTGTTCAATAGCATATATCTACTGAAAGAATAACCAAATCCTTGTGATTTTGCAGGTTGAATGTAAAATGGGGAGCAATCAGCATGCTTAACGAGAGAAGAATGTTTGACTCTTTAGGGTTTTCTTAGACATTACCATAGTGAATTTTTAAATGTCTCAACTAGACTCGGATTTATCTCATTTTGGTTTATGCTGGAAATGTTTTTTGCTTTATGATACTGTAGTTTGTTCTTCATACTTCATATCATTTCGATACTTTCACTTCAATGCAAAAGTAGTTTCAAAATTCCAATCCAAATACACTTTTGGATACAAGAATCATTTGTGTGGAAGCACTTTGTAATAGTTGAGGAAGTGTTCTTGAATAAATTTGGTATAGTTTGACAAAAAAATACTATTTAGAAAAGTTTCGGAAATGAAATACAGATTAAAGGGAACATCCATTTATGAAAAGGCTTATTTCCACAAACACACTGAGAAATAAAAGGTACTTTCTCCAAGAACAGTTCCAAACCCTACCAGAAAGCAAATTTTCAGCAAAAATATAACGTTGCACACTAACTGGATTCTGGAAAAAGAATAATACATTTAGGCTCAAACATCACCACTTCTAGGCTCGAGTTCAAACCAAATCATGAATCACAAAATGAGAGAACCCATTAAACAAAGTAATCTATTTGCATTGTGTCGTTACAATGAAAACCCAAAATCTAAGAAGTGAAAGTAATAATAAAAATAATGGAGAACAGCCTTTCACTTGAGATTTAGCAAATTGGGTTGTTGTCTGCATCGTCAACAGCAGAAGAAGCCAATACCAGTTGTGGTTGAGCTACATAACCTTCCTTTCTAGCCTTTTTTTTCTCACGTTGCAACCTGAAGTACTCTCTCTTCCTTGCTCTGTAACTGTTGGGATTTTCAGGCTGCACTTCCCGTGGGTAAACACTTACCTTCTTCCTATCAGGACCGTACTTCTCAAATTTCACAAGCCCATCAATCAACGAGAATAATGTGTGGTCCTTCCCAATCCCCACGTTCTTTCCTGGATGAAACTGAAAATTTATACAAAGTCAAATAAATTATTGAAAAATTATATATAAATGGGTAAAATTAGAAATTAAGGACGAACCTTGGTGCCGCGCTGACGAACAATAATGGCACCAGGCTTGGCCACCTGGTCACCGTAAATCTTAACGCCGAGGCGTTGACCTGGCGAATCACGGCCGTTCTTCGTACTCCCGGCTCCCTTTTTGTGGGCGGATTCGATGGTTAACGGGAACGGCGTTTGGTGTGGGAGGGAAACGGTGACTGACCTGGGAGCCACGCTGAATTCGCCCTTGAAAAATGATGAGGAAGAGCTTGAAGATAAAGACAGACCCTTAAAAGCACCGATTAGGTTTAGACTCATTGAAACTGTGGCCATTTTTTTTTTGTTTTTTTTGTTTTTCTAAAACTGTTTTTCAGTTGTTGGGTGAAATGAAAAAATTCAGAAGAATAATAGAAGAAGGCTGAGACCTTATCTCAAGTTCGGTCGTGTCACTGATGCCACGTCATTTTAATTTCTGCTGTTTTAAATTTTGATATGGTAAAATTTTGAAGCTACATGATATGTTAATTTGGGTTTCAATTATTGAAATTATTACTTTGATGTTTGAATTTAAACATTAAATATTTTTTATAAAAATTTGTAAATGCCAAACAATATTTTGCTTCAAGTTATAACTTAGTCATAAAACCAGATAAAAGTCATATAAAATAATTACTTTGTTCTTTGTTTTTTGTCTAATTTTATGATTTAGTTAGTAAATTCACGAATAAAATGTGAATTATACGTCTAACCGTATGACTCACATATTACTAACGAATTTTTATATTTTATCAACCCAACTGTATTATTCGTGAACTATATACCTCATATATTTTATTCGCGAATTATTTTCGTATCCGAATTTTTGTCAAATTTTTATAAATTTATTTTTCACAATTTACTGTATTATACTCATAAAATTTTCATACCCTTTATTTACCATACCCATATTTATTAACTAGAGTTATAAGCATAATATTGCTCGATAATTATATTGCTTGAAAAAGGGTTTTGATTTGTAATTCAAAGAGGTTTGGGGTATATTATTCTCTTTTATCTACTTTATTATGCGTTTGAAATGGGCTTCACAAACCTATCGATTGAGGTGTGCTTAATGGGGTCGTCCCATTCTTCTTCCACTTAAAAATTAAAGATAAATGTGTAAAATTTTCATATTACCAAACCAATAATGAACATACGTTGTTCAACATACCCAAACTTCAATATAGATAAACTATAATCCCTGGCTCTTTTCAACCCCTACTGTATTCATTTGAGCATCGCATTTTGTCTCTCCACTCCAAAAACAATGACCATTTGGGGCATCATAAGATTAAAAATAATATCATGATTAAGTAAGGTGATCCGTCTCTGACTCCAAATAAATATGTTAATTAATGGTTGCCTTAAATAGATTTAATAATGTTACCGATAATTTACATCGAATTTTTGTACCGAAATACGTGACATCCAATCAGACGCAATAAGACAGAACACGTCTTCTGTGAATGAACAACTATCTTACAATTATGTATGACCGTCCATATTTGATGAAAGGTCGTTCATCATGAATGGATGAACGTCCACGAAAAATAATAATGGACTCTCATCCATATTATTTAGATGGAAGTCTATTCACCATAGACGAACGTCCACCTCATATGGATGTCCGTCCATAAAATTTTAAAAATAAAATAATAGACGTCTATCCATCTTATATGGACAGACATCCATCTAAAATGAAGCAAATAGCCGGATAAATGGGAAATGATATAGCCATAGAGAAGGTTAAATCATATGCTTCCAGATTCTCCTTCCAGTGGTTAATGCAATTAATATCACATGTCCATGCTTGCAGTTTAATTACATATAATAATTTGGCTTAATTTTAGCCATAAATTCCAAGTAGTTAGCCTTAGGATTTTTTTTTTTTTTTTTCTTTCTTTTTTTCTTTCAGTTCATTAGAACTCACCATTCCAGATGGTTGTTCAGCCTTGCCTTAACTTGGAATGTGCATTTATTATTCACAGATTAAGAACTCGATGAAACCAGCATCTTTAGTATGGACGGTCGTCTATATATCTATTTTAAATGGACGTCTATTCATATAATATAGATGAACTTTCATTATTATATTAAAAAAAAAAAATTATAGATAGACGTTTATATGAGGTGGATACGTATCTAAAGGAAGTCTATTGTTATTTTCGTAAACGTTCGTTGATTCGTGATGAACGATCGTCCATCAAATATAGATAAACGTCTATAATTATTAGACGATCGTTTATTTACGAAAGACGTGTTTTATCTCGAACATGACTGCGTTGACTGGATATCACATACGTCGGTACAAAAATTTGGTACAAATTATTGGTCTTGGTAGCATTATTTTGGTTACACTGTGTAACGGTGTAACTAAGAGATAAAAAAGTATATCCTGATTTTTCTCGCCAACACTCACAATGTGGCCTCAATTCATCATATTATTTTTATTTTGTTTCATGTTAATTTTATCAACTTTCACAAAGTAAGTAATCCAAATATAGCTAAAAAAAACATAAACACTCTTCTCTTCCGCAAGCAGAGATCTTATATATCAAAATTTTCACACCAAAAATAACCAAACAACCACAAATTAATTGATCGAGACATGAAGAACAGTCCGAATACTCGCCATTTCGTGGTTGAAAAGCCACTCTTCCTCGGCGCTGTCCTCACCATTGCCATGACCGGTGCCCTTCTCATCACCGGCTTAAGCAAAACAATCAACACCTCATTCGCTTGTCTCTACACCAAAGACAATGCCGATGCAACAACCGCCGCCATGCGGACACAACTCCTTGCTGTGGTCCATTACGCCACCTCTAAAGAAATCCCCGAGATAACCTTCCCCGAAATCCGGGCCTCCCTCGACGTGCTGCTCAGCCTCGCCCCATGCAACTTCCTCGTCTTCGGCCTCGGCCACGACTCCCTCATGTGGGCCGCATTGAATCCACGTGGCACCACCCTATTCCTCGAAGAAGATCCCAAACTCGTCCACAAGATCCTCGCACGTGCCCCGGCATTACGTGTCCACACCATAACGTATAGCACGCAGCTTTACGAGGCTGACCATCTCATCAACTCGTACAAGTCCGAGAAAAACTGTTTGCCTCCAAACGTGCACCTCAGGGGCAACGCCAGGTGTAAGTTGGCGTTGAGCGAGTTACCGGATGACGTGTACAACAGAGAGTGGGATGCCATATTTATAGATGCGCCACGTGGATATTACGCGGAGGCGCCGGGGAGGATGGCGACTGTGTTCACGGCGGCAGTGATGGCCCGTAGGAGAACGAGGAGCGGTATGACGCACGTGTTCTTGCATGACGTAGACAGGAAGGTGGAGAAAATGTATGCGGAGGAGTTTTTGTGTAGGAAGTATTTGGTGAAGGCGGTGGGGAAATTGTGGTATTTTGCGATACCGCCTGGGGTTAATGTGAGTAAGAGCAAGGGGAGGCGTGGTACGCCACCGTTTTGTCAAGATTGAAGTAGGAGAGGATAGATTAATATATTCATTAAGATTGACCCCCTTTTTTTTTTTCTGTGAGCTGCTATACAATATAGCTGGTTAGGTATGTGCAAGGAGGATGAAATGAGATGTGATTTGTCCTCTTTTTTTTTTTTTTTTTTCTTTTACTGTTTTAAAAAGGTTGTTTTTCGAATTTTGAGGAAGATAAAATTGCAGAATAGATATATAGGTAAGAACCATGAAATGAGATGTCCTATTTGTCTCTTTTTTATTTTATTTTTTTTCAAAATGCTGTTTTTGTGGAAGTTATGTAAGGACGAACCTTGGTGCCGCGCTGACGAACAATAATGGCACCAGGCTTGGCCACCTGGTCACCGTAAATCTTAACGCCGAGGCGTTGACCTGGCGAATCACGGCCGTTCTTCGTACTCCCGGCTCCCTTTTTGTGGGCGGATTCGATGGTTAACGGGAACGGCGTTTGGTGTGGGAGGGAAACGGTGACTGAACTGGGAGCCACGCTGAATTCGCCCTTGAAAAATGATGAGGAAGAGCTTGAAGATAAGGACAGACCCTTAAAAGCACCGATTAGGTTTAGACTCATTGAAACTGTGGCCATTTTTTGTTTGTTTTTGTTTTTCTAAAACTCTTTTTCAGCTGTTGGGTGAAATGAAAAATTCAGAAGAAGAATAGAAGGAGACTGAGACCTTATCTCAAGTTCAGTCGTGTCACTGCTGCCGCGTCATTTTAATTTTTGCTGTTTTAAATTTTGATATGGTAAAATTTTGAAGCTACATAATTTGTTAATTTGGGTTTCAATTATTGAAATTATTACTTTGATGTGTGAATTCAAACATATAAATAATTTCGATAAAAATTTGTAAATGCTTAACAATCTTTTAATTATCAACAATATTTTGCTTAAAGTTACAACTTAGTCATATAATAATGTAAAATGATTATTTTGTTCTTTATATTATTTTGTTCTTTGTTTTTTTGCTAGTTACTAAATTCACAAATAAAACGTGAATTATAAGTCCAGTTGTATGATTCGCATATTATTTGCGAATTTTCATATTTTATCAACCCAATCGTATTATTCGTGAATTATATACCTCAGACATTTTATTTACGAATTATTTTCGTATCCGAATTTTTACAAACTTGTTTTTCACAATTTATCATATTATATCCGCAAAATTCTCATACCTTTTGTTTACCGTACCCATATTTATTAACTAGAGTTATAAATATAGCATTGCTTATTAATTATATTGCTTGAAAAAGGGTTTTGATTTGTAATTCAAAGAGGTTTTGAGGTGTATTATTCTCTTTTATCTACTTTACCATGCGTTTGAAATGGGCCACAAACCTATCGATTGAGGTGTGCTTAATGGGGTCGTCCCATTCTTCTTCCACTTAAAAATTAAAGATAAATGTGTAAGATTTTCATATTACCAACCCAATAATGAACATACGTTGTTCAATATACCCAAACTTTAATATAGATAAACTGTAATCCCTGGCTCTTTTGTCTCTCCACTCCAAAGACAATGACCATTTGGGGCATCATAAGATTAAAAATAATATCACGATTAAGTAAGGTGATCCGACTCCAAATAAATATGTTAATTAATGGTTGCCTTAAATAGATTTAATAATGCTACAAACATCGATAATTTATATCGAATTTTTACACCGAAGTACGTGACATCCAATCAAACGTGACGAAACAAAACACATTTTTTTATGAATGAATGACTATCTAACAATTATAGACGTCCGTCTATATTTGATGGAAGGTCGTTCATCACGAATGGATGAACGTCCACGAAAAATAATAATGAACCCTCGTCCATATTATTTGGATGGGAGTCCATTCACCATGGACGGACGTCCACTTTATATGGATACCCGTCCATAAAATTTTGAAAATAAAATAGTGGACACCCATCTATCTTCTATCCATCTTATATGAACGCCCGTCCATCTAAAATGAAGCAAAATAAATGGAAAATGATGTAGCCATAGAGAAGGTTAAATCATAGGAAAATGATAGAGTCACCGAAAATACATACCGAATCTGTGCACCGAATGACGTAATAAAATCCTGACCGTTGATTAATATTAACTGATAATGAATAAACGGTCAGGATTGTGTCACATTATTCAGTGTACGAATTCGATATACATCCTTTGAGAATTATAGCATTACTCTAAATCATATGCTTCCAGATTCTCCTTCCAGTGGTTAATGCAATTAATATCACATGTCCATGCTCGCAGTTTAATTACATATAATAATTTGGCTTAATTTTAGCCATAAATTCCAAGTAGTTACCCTTAGGATTTTTTTTTTTTTTTTCCAGTTCATTTGAACTCACAATTCCAGGTGGATGTTCAGCGTTGCCTTAACTTGGAATGTGCATTTATTACTCACAAATTAAGAACTTAATAAAACCAGCATCTTTAGTATTTACGGTTTTCCTATTTATATAATATGGATGAACTTTTATTATTATATTAAAAAAAAAAAATTATAGACAGACGTTCATATGAGGTGAATACCTATACAAAGAAAATAGATTTCCGTCCATATAATATGGACGAAAATCTATTGTTATTTTCGTAGACGCTCGCCAATTCGTGATCAAATATGGATAAACGTCTATAGTTATTAGACGATCGTTTATTTACGGAAGACATATTTTGTTTCAAACGTGACCGTCTTGACTGGATATCACGTATGTCGATACAAAAATTTGGTATAAATTATTATTTTTGATAGCATTATTTTGGTTACACTGTGTAACAGTGTAACTAAGAGATAAAAAAGTATATCCTGATTTTTCTCGCCAACACTCACTATGTGGCCTCAATTCATCATATTATTTTTATTTTGTTTCATGTTAATTTTATCAACTTTCACAAAGTAAGTAATCCAAATATAGCTAAAAAAAACATAAACACTCTTCTCTTCCGCAAGCAGAGATCTTATATATCAAAATTTTCACACCAAAAATAACCAAACAACCACAAATTAATTGATCGAGACATGAAGAACAGTCCGAATACTCGCCATTTCGTGGTTGAAAAGCCACTCTTCCTCGGCGCTGTCCTCACCATTGCCATGACCGGTGCCCTTCTCATCACCGGCTTAAGCAAAACAATCAACACCTCATTCGCTTGTCTCTACACCAAAGACAATGCCGATGCAACAACCGCCGCCATGCGGACACAACTCCTTGCTGTGGTCCATTACGCCACCTCTAAAGAAATCCCCGAGATAACCTTCCCCGAAATCCGGGCCTCCCTCGACGTGCTGCTCAGCCTCGCCCCATGCAACTTCCTCGTCTTCGGCCTCGGCCACGACTCCCTCATGTGGGCCGCATTGAATCCACGTGGCACCACCCTATTCCTCGAAGAAGATCCCAAACTCGTCCACAAGATCCTCGCACGTGCCCCGGCATTACGTGTCCACACCATAACGTATAGCACGCAGCTTTACGAGGCTGACCATCTCATCAACTCGTACAAGTCCGAGAAAAACTGTTTGCCTCCAAACGTGCACCTCAGGGGCAACGCCAGGTGTAAGTTGGCGTTGAGCGAGTTACCGGATGACGTGTACAACAGAGAGTGGGATGCCATATTTATAGATGCGCCACGTGGATATTACGCGGAGGCGCCGGGGAGGATGGCGACTGTGTTCACGGCGGCAGTGATGGCCCGTAGGAGAACGAGGAGCGGTATGACGCACGTGTTCTTGCATGACGTAGACAGGAAGGTGGAGAAAATGTATGCGGAGGAGTTTTTGTGTAGGAAGTATTTGGTGAAGGCGGTGGGGAAATTGTGGTATTTTGCGATACCGCCTGGGGTTAATGTGAGTAAGAGCAAGGGGAGGCGTGGTACGCCACCGTTTTGTCAAGATTGAAGTAGGAGAGGATAGATTAATATATTCATTAAGATTGACCCCCTTTTTTTTTTTCTGTGAGCTGCTATACAATATAGCTGGTTAGGTATGTGCAAGGAGGATGAAATGAGATGTGATTTGTCCTCTTTTTTTTTTTTTTTTTTCTTTTACTGTTTTAAAAAGGTTGTTTTTCGAATTTTGAGGAAGATAAAATTGCAGAATAGATATATAGGTAAGAACCATGAAATGAGATGTCCTATTTGTCTCTTTTTTATTTTATTTTTTTTCAAAATGCTGTTTTTGTGGAAGTTAAAATTGATAAAAATATATAATGGTTGTTTATGAATAAAGGTTTCGTTCACCTCATGGATTGTATAGGGATAAAGAGAGAATGGGAATAAGTGAAGGAATGAGGGTGGTGGAGAAATTCAGTGGCGATTACGACCACCAGAGTGGCGATGATGAAACAAAGGTAGGATCTTGAACTTTGGAACTAGCAAGTTATTTGGGGTGGCGATTTATAGCGTGGGTGAAGGAATTGAAGCAGAGGAACGTAATGAGGGTGGTGAAGAAGGAGTTGTTGCCTAACTCTAAGAATCCGGGGCTTGGCACAACGGAGATGAATTTATTACATGACTATGACTATGGAGATGAATTAATAATACAAGTTCCAGAATTCTGTAAGAAAAATCTCAATTTTGCAGTCTTTTTTGTTTAGTTTGTGAATGCTGTAGGTTATTTATGAGATTATATCATGATGTGGTTAATGGATACTGTTAGGCCTGAAAAAGTAGGCCTGAAAAAGTAGGCCTGACGCCAAGCCTTGTCAGCATGGGCGGTTAGAGCTTAGGTAGGTTCTGCAGCCATTCAGATGCAATCACGTCGCGTGCTGATGTAAGCGGCATGCTCCTGCTAGTGTAGTGGATATGTGCCAAAGTGGCGAAAGGCTGAAAACATTCCACGTGTCCAATCCCTACATAAGTCGAGGAAATCACTCGAGCAGCTGAGCAACGGGACATAAAGAAGGATTTGCACGACAATTTGACCCACTCATAGATTCAGTAATCATTACCTCAATTCATCCCACTATAAATAGAAGGCTTCTCTCCCGTTTGTGGGATTAGCTAATTTGTCTCCAAAATAGCAGACATTCTCTCTCTCTCTCTCTCTCTCTCTCTCTCTCTCTCTCTCGTGTATTCACTTATATTCTCTAAGCTATAAATCAGCTCGCTGAACACGACCAGATCTCATATATTAATACAATACCAGTGGATGTAGGATTCGCTTATTTAAGTATCCGAACCACTTTAAACATTGTTCTTCACTCTTTAATCAAATACCCCCCATATACACGTGTCTCTTCCGAGTCAGCTCAGCATTTCCCACGTACGATTAGTTGGTGTCAAAGTCAAGTATCAACAGTTTGGCGCTAGAGGACCCGACTTAGTACTTATTCTTCGTAAGGAGAATCTCTGACTAATCGGTCCCACTACAGCAAATGGCTCACCGATTTGAATCTGAGCGAACCAATCATGGTGATGAAGAGATCCCCCAGGTACAAGAGGACACTTCTCTCCAGGTGCCCTCAGTCCCGCAAAATACCATAGGGGATATCCTTTCAAGCTCATGGCTTGGCCCAGTCGTTATGAGCTACCTAGAGAGATTCAACAATACTCTCCAAACGGTCAGCCAAAGATTGGACCGATTGG